TGTGATGAACCTGCAGAAATCCTGCGCTCCCCAAACCGGACCCTCTACAGCCCAAGGCTGCACATAGAAATATTTCCCAGAAAAATTATGAACAGAATTGGTGAGAAAGGGCAGACCTCCTGGAGTCCAACATGCATTGGAAACTTGTCTGACTTATTGCTGGAAATATATTTTATTTTAACCACATTCTACTCTACCCTACTCTACCCTACTTTACTTTACTCCACTCTACTCTATCCTAAAAAATAGATGTTCTTCCTTATTTTTAAATGTTAATCAATCAATTACATTGTTCAAACTTCAACTGAACACACTAGAAGCTAAATCAAACCAAGTTTGCTGTGGATTTTTATACATCTAAATACAAATTCTAAAACATCCAGTGCTAAAACAGACTCGTTTCTGAGCAAACGATATCCAAACATGCAAAAACACATTAGTTTCCTCGCTGAAGTGCTCCACTTTCCCCCCTCACTAACTAAGCCAAATACAGAGAGAAGTAAATCTCCTCTGATACATCAAACACTTCCAGAAAAGCCTCTTGCACGCTCTCCTCCTTCATCAACATCAGTCGTCTAATTAAACCTTCCCTCAATCCAGATCTCGTCCCATGATTCAGCCTCCGTAACCCCACGACACGACTCCTCCGTTCGGCCGCCTATGCGCACTATTTTCAGCAGTTCTTCCCTCTCCCGCCGACGAACGAGCCATTTTTCATTCTCCACCGCCACAAAGGTGAAACTCAATAAATGTCAGACTCCCCATGGGCCCGCGTTTGTGGAGCGATCATACATTTAGAGCTTGCAATTATGTCAAAGCAGCAAAATTAATGAAATGCCATTCCACGTGAGACCTCTCTTCATTTACATAATATTAATTCCACTCAGGATTACATTTTTTTTGGTCGTTTTTAAGGACAGTTCCATATTGCCGCAGTCACATGTCATGCCACTTTACAGTACTCCCAACACCCATGAAACTTCCAAGCACAGGCAGGTTGTTTATTTCCCTGTGTCATGCTCTCATTTTTCATGCGAGTGTTTTACTTAAGCGCTGCACTCAGGTGGACTTGCTTTTCACTCAGCGTTTTAAGGCTAAAGCGGGCCGTCTGCTGAATCCCCCGAGACTCGTTGTGCGGTTGTTTCTCAGAGTTTAAGGGAAGCTGAAATAGCCCGTTCTTATGGAGATGAGGGTTTAAAAGGTGAAAGCTTTTATATCCCACAATCCCTGGCCTCAACCCATTGAGATCTAACTCTCATGTGCTTCGCTGTGTCTTGAGAGAGTAACCTGGTCAAATACATTAGTCAAGTCTTGACCGCTTGCACGCATGTGGACCTTCAAATGTGCCTTAATTCTTTGTGGCACAGATTCAACAAAGTGTTTGAAGAATGCCTCAGAGATTTCGGTGCATACTCATATTGTTTTATCATCATTTATTTGTCAGGTCTTCATCCATAATGTAAATCTCTCAAATGTGATTTGCTGGATTTTGATTTGGTGTCTGTGGAGAACATTTGAGGGAACCAGTTTGAGATGAATTGAGCTTCGTCAGTTAGTATGTATCAGAATTTACTCTAAATTGGGTTCAAAGTGTGCCAATAAAAACTCACTTACTTCATTACACCATAGGTATCCCGATTCATTGATACACAATTTGATAGATCCATACTTTCATGTTGTTTCCACCAAATTTTGACACTACCACCCAAAGCTTGCAGCAGATATTGAGACTTAATAGATTAGATACTGTTTTTCACAATAATTGTCCAGTTTTGTTGAGCCGGTGTGAATTAGAGTTTTCCCTGAATCCCCTTGGCACTCGTGTGGTTGTTTCTGGGAGTTTAAGGGAAGCTGAAATAGCCTGTTCTTATGGAGATGAGGGTTTAAAAGGTGAAAGCTTTTATATCCCACAATCCCTGGCCTCAGAGCAGCTCAACCTATGGAGATCTGACTCTAATGTGCTTCACTCTGTCTTGAGAGAGTAACCTGGTTAAATGCATTAGTCAAGTCCTGACCACTTGCACGCATGTGGACCTTCAGATCTGCCTTAATTCTTTGTGGCACAGATTCAACAAAGTGTCCGAAGAATCCCTCAGAGATTTCGGAGTGCATACTCATATGGTTTCATCATCATTTATTTGTCAGGTCTTAATCCATAATGCAAATCTCCCAAATGTGATTTGCTGGATTGTGATTTGGTGACTGTGGAGAACATTTGAGGGAACCAGTTTGAGATGATTTGAGCTTTGTCACTTGGACAGAATTTACTCTAAATCGGGCCCAAAGTGTGCCAATAAAAACTAACTTTCTTCATTACACCACTCTCATCCTGAATCATATATACATAAGTTGATAGATCCATGCTTTCATGTTGTGTCCACCAAATTTTGTCCCTACCACCCCATGCTTGCAGCAGATATTGAGACTTAATAGATCAGACAACATTTTTGACAACTATTGTTGAGGCAGTGTGAATTGGAGTTTCACCAATGTTTCTTCTGCTGCTGGAGCTCATCTGCTTCAAGGTTTAATGTGTTGTGTCTTTAGATATTCTATTAACTCAAACCGGTCTGGTTTTTTCTGACCTCTGGCATCAACAAGGGATTTTGGCATACTGTATATTTAAGTTATTCCAGACAATTCTCAGTAACAATTTAGTTGTTACCTGCCAACGTTTGTCTTCCAAGTTTCGAGAGACCAAGGGTGGTATTGTCTACTACTACTGACATTGCTACTGCCACCATTCAAAATATACCACTTGCACAGAAATCAACACCTCAACTAGGTTGTTGTACCAGATTGAGGTAAAAAAAAAATGCTTTGAGATTTGAATGTTTTGTCGATTGTGTGAGGTGATGAGCTTCATACAAGATCTGGCAACTTGACAAACACGGAAAAAAAGTGATTTTTCGCAACTAGATTGGACTGTACAAATTACAGGGATTTCCCAGGAGAAATAGCAAAACAGGACGGTGTTGGGAGATGGGTGTGAGATATGAGACACTTCCGGGAAAAATGATAGTTGGGCAGCAACAATCATGCCATGTACAACGTTGCTGAAAAATTATTTTTATTCCCCAATCTGATGCAAACAGTTGTGCTATTTTTTCCCCTGCATTCTTTGATGAATGGAAGTTTCATAGAAATTACATTTAACATTGGATATGAGGATTCACTTTCATACAGATCTTGTGTCGTAGTGAATGTAAATGATCTGACTCTCAATGCAATGTCTCTTTATGAGTAAGTATTTGGAAGACTTTTCTGGCAGATATTTTGGCACTAGGTTACTTACAGTCACTTTATTTAGTGTGTTGTTCATTTAGAGATGTAAAATGGGTTTAGAGATGTATTAAATGTATAAATCTTTTTTTTCTTTCTTTAAAATACTTTGCAAGTGTGGCTATAAACACTTTTTATCGCAGCAAAATGTTTATATAATCACTTCAAAGTTTTAAAATGCACAGAACACTTGATTTATTTATTTAATATCGTTTGGTTGAAAGATTCCTTGGGGGAAATGGTGTATTTGACTTCAAACACTTGAAGGTCTTTCCATTGTTTTAATTGAATTTGTTACTGTATATGTTGTGATATTGTGATGAACCTTGAGTTCAGAACCTTGAGGAACCTTGAAGGGACTTTCTGCTGAGCTTAAAAGTAAAACTACTGTTTTTCACTGAATTTGAATCTTTAGAGACATTACGGTCGTTTCAGGTTAGACATATATTGCATTCAGCACAACCGGGAAAACAGATTTGTGTTTATCACACAAAGCTATTTTATGATTTTAGAAAGCTAAAATATGAGTTTTTGGTCACTTTTGAAGTTTAGTCACTTCAATGCTATAAATACAAAAAATATGCAGTTATATTTATACATTTTGTTGCCAAGTGACAACGTTTTTATGAAGCAATTCGGCATTTTGATATATTGACTGATACTTTTTAAAATAGAAAACATATCATTGCATCTACTAATTATTTTAGGTATCATTATTTAAATAAATGCAGCACTGGTGAGCAAAGACAATAGTTTATTACTATTTTATGAATTTACTTTTTATCAAAATATATTTGTATTTGCATTTTTAATTTGTACAGATGTTAAAATGTTTTATTTTATAATAATAATAATAATAATAATAATAATAATAATAATAATAATAATAATAATAATAATACTAATAATAATAATAATAATAACAATACATATTATTATTATTATTATTATTATTATTATTATTATTATTATTATTATTATTATTATTATTATTATTATCATCATCATAGTAACCTGTAAAAATGTGTTGCTGCCCTATATTGAATCAAATAACTTTTACAATTCACTTCAACTAATTATTAAACAGACCTAAAACATCAACTTAAAATTGAAAAACTTAAAGTTTAAAACTTGATTAACCTGATTGAAAGTAAAATAAAAAATATCTTGACTTTTTCATTGAATAATTTTTTATAGTGTAATATTTATATTATACTTCATATCATCACGTATCAATAATATACTTCAGATTCACACTGTAAAATCGAGCAATGCAATTAATTAAATGAATTCATTTGACATTTGACAGAAAAAAGTTACGTGAACTCAGCATTTGATTGTATTAGACTGAACTTAAACTGAATGAGTTAACTTTACTGAAGATTTCTAGTTCTCAGCATGCTTTGTGGAAAACTGGAGAATAAATGTAAAAAACTGTGTTATTGTTGTATTTTTGAACGTGATTAACATAGATTACAGATCCAATTAAGTCAAAAAAACTTAAATAGTCTTAAATAGTCCAAGTTACGTGAACTCAACATTTGATTGTATTAGACTGAACTTAAACTGAATGAGTTAACTTTACTGAAGATTTCTAGTTCTCAGCATGCTTTGTGGAAAACTGGAGAATAAATTTAAAAAAATAACTCTTGTGGTATTTTTGCACACGATTAACAAAGATTACAAATCCAATTAAGTCAAAAAACTTAAATACACTCAAAAAAATGATTCTTGCCTGTAATTGAAATTAAGCAAACAATTTAAATAGAGTTTGTTTAAAAAAGTAAAAAATAACTATTATTGTTTCAAATTATGCTGTCTCAACATGAATTTAATGGACTCGAAACAAACCTGCTCAAATTACATAAACTATACTTAATTGGTTGCCGTAAAGAGCGAATGCAGAGGTTGCGCATGCGCGTAATTTAAAAACACTGAAGGCGCCAGGACGGGCATGCGCATCGGTTAGGAACACTGAAGGCGCCAGGACGGGCTTGCGCATCGGTTAGGAACACTGAAGGCGGGCTAGCCGGCGGGCTAAGCGCGAGGAAGACAACGGTAGCAGAGAAGTGACAGTGAAGATCTGATCGGGAGAGTATACAAGGTAAGATATTTTCTTCATTTGTGATTGATGTGTAAACTATTTTAAGACGTGATTCTTTTATGCGATCGATATTGATTCATCGTCACATGGCGAATTAACTGACATTGGATATTTTGGGCCGTCACTTGCATTTTTAAAATTAACCATCGTTTGAGTAAGTTATGTGTATCCTTTTTCAGTGAAGCAGATTGCTTGCATGATTTAAAAAACAAAACAAAAAAAAATCTGCATCATTTCGACGTAATTCACTTTGCAAGCACGTTGACTATTTTTACAGTCTATGGTTAGAACACGTTAAACTTTATAATTTCTAGTAAAATTATCCTTTCTAGTAAAATATATTAATCTGTTATCACCTATCTGCAATTTGGGTCACTTTAAGCTATATATGGTCTACTATATTCATCTTAGGAAGACTGCACTTGTAACGTAACTTAATAATAATAGATTAACGTTAATGTTAGCAATCTCCACGTAACTTTATATTTTGCATTTTTATGCTTTAAAAATATGACGAAGCGTTGTACAAACTCGACATTATTTGAAAGTTGCATGTACAAGATTGTTGGATTATGTCATACTAAAGTCGTGTACTGGAAGTGAAAAATGTAACGTTAACGTTAGCAGCTACTTGTAAATGCTTATTTAAAACATATTGTGTATGTAAAAGTTAGTTGATAGTGCAATTTTTTTTTTATTTAAAAAAATGTAATTTCATTACAAAACTCTAATTATATGTCATTTTTACCATTTCAGAGATCTCATCGTTGTGACATTCCACATTGTCTCCAGTTTGGGACAATCACTCAATTACAGTAAGTGTTTTTGTTTATTTATATATATATATATATATCTTGTTTTATTTTGTAAAATTGTTACTTTTCTCACACTCACATGTTTTACTTTTAGATATGTGAGTCTTGAGAATGTGGCAATGTAAAGTGTGTGGCACAGAAGTATCCAGTAGGTATGAGTTATTGAAACATTCTAAGCTCAAACATGGACATTTTGGGGCAAGGTTCAGGCATCCTTGTGTATACAATACATGTCCTTGCACATTTAAATCATGGAATAACCTTTTAAGTCATATATACCGTGCACACGTTGATCAGTCATCTTCAAAACAAAATCAGTTAGCTACATTTTCATGTCAGCTGTGTACATGCATTGAGTCAAATGAAAGAGATTACTTTAGTCATCTAAATGAACATCTGCGTAAACATGAAACTGTGACTTGTGTATTTAAAGAGTGTACATTTAAAAGTAACATTTATAACACATTTCATACACACAAAAATAGGAAGCACAATCCACATTGTCTAACTGACTTTAAATTAACTGTTGTCACAGTCACTGCAGACTGTCAAGAGTCAGCCAGTTCTCCCATTGATTTACCCACATGTTCAACAGAATCTGTGTTAGAGTCATGCAATGATGCTAATACTGATGAAGATGTTTTTAAGGGAAGTGTTCTTAATATTGCCCTTGTTTTATTAAAGTTGGAAAACATTTTGCATGTCCCAGCCACCGCAGTTGATGAATTACTTCAGGAACTACATTATTCATTAACTTCAGCATCAAATCAAGTCACTTGTAGCATAATTTCTGACATTTTTAAAAATCACAACTTAGAAATTGATGAATTTGTCATTCAAGAGCTTTCTGAAGCAGCAGGCAGGTCAAATCCCTTGGTTAAAGCCATAGAAAAAGGTGGTCCCCTTGCCACTGCTTTCAAGCGGAAGCAATTCTACAAAGAACATGTAACAGTTGTAGAGCCTATTGAGTTTATCCTTAATCAAAAAAGTCGAAAAACCTATCAGTATATACCAATTTTGCCTTCTCTTCAGCTGTTGTTTAGTTGCAGTGATATTTTACAGTGTGTTATTGGGGACCACGAGAAGCAAAAAACTGATTCAGGGGCAGACAAAGAACAGCAGTATAGGTCAATCAGAGATGGACTTTATTGCAAGGAAAACACATTTTTTTGTGGAGAGGAATTAAAAATATCACTGTCATTGTACATTGATGATTTTGAACTCTGCAACCCCTTAGGCACTTCACGTAAAAAGCATAAACTTTGTGGGGTCTACTGGATTTTGAATAATTTGCCACCTGGATGCAGCTCCACACTTTCATCTATCTATCTGGCAGTTTTATGCAAGACTGAACATGTAAAGTCATATGGATATGGTACAATTTTGGAGCCCCTTTTACAGGAATTGATTACTTTAGAGAGTCAAGGTGTCTACCTTCCAGGGCTTGGACGGTTTGTGAAAGGTACAGTCCAGTCTGTCATTGCAGATAATTTAGGGGCCCACAGTTTAGCAGGCTTCATAGAAAGCTTCTCTGGTGAGTACTTTTGCAGGTTCTGCATAGGGAAGAGATTGGAGATTCAAGCTGAATCTGTTCTGACTGGCGACTTTGCCCTTAGAACAAAGGAAATTCATGATGCACATGTAGCATCTGCTAAAGAAAACTCTGTAGCATTTTGTGGAGTAAAAAGAGGTTGTGTGTTAACAGAGAATTTATCTCACTTTCATGTTACTAGAGGCTATCCACCAGATATTGCACACGACCTGTTTGAGGGTATTGTACCATTTGAACTTGCACTTTGCTTGAAAGAGTTTGTTTCCAAGAAGTACCTGTCTCTTGATACTCTAAACTCATTGATTTTGAACTTCCCTTATAAGTGGGGTGATAAAACCAATAAACCACACGTTATTCCATATACATATGCCTCCAAGAAGACAATTGGAGGTAACGCACATGAAAATTGGAATTTAATGAGATTGCTTCCATTCATCATTGGAGACTTGATACCAGAGACTGAGCCTGCTTGGATCATACTTCTTGATTTGAAAGAAATAGTTGAACTTGCTGTAGCCCCTATTCATAACGAAGAAACAGTAGCCTACTTAAACTGCAAAATTGTAGAGCACAGACACAGATTTGTTGAACTTTTTCCAGCACAACTGTTACCAAAACATCATTATGTGGAGCATTATCCACAAATGATTCAGTTTTTTGGACCTCTAGTAGGGCAGTGGACTATGAGGTTTGAGGCGAAACATAGCTTCTTTAAGAAAGTAGCTCGCCACACAAATTGTTTTAAAAACATAACGCTCACACTGGCTGCCAAACACCAGCAAATGATCGCTTATCAGATCCATTCTTGTAGCCTTAAGAAGTCCAGACTAGAAGTTACTAGTGTCTCCACACTTTCTGTGGATATTTTAAACAAGGAAGTGGTAGAAGGCTTAAGACAGAAATATCCAGGGATTAATGAAGTTCATCTGGCAAAAAATGTGACAAACAATGGGATAAATTATAGAACTGGTATGCTGATTTCGTTTGGGTCAGCAGGTGGGCTCCCAGAGTTTGCTGAAATTCTTCAAATCTTTATTGTCAAAAGCAGACTGAATTTTGTTGTGAAGGTACTGTGTGCATGGTATCAAGAACATTTTAGAGCTTTTCAGTTAACTGTCTCTCCTGATAGAGAGGTTGCCCTGGTTGATTTAGATCAGCTAACGGATGCTTATCCACTGTATGATTATATGGTAGGAGGAAGACGAATGGTGACCCTGAAGAGGCACATCCTCATTTAAGGTAATGTATTTATCAAGTGTTTTGTGTAAAATAAGTAATAAAATTGTATTACTGACTTTGTCATATTCTGCTTCATACCCTCTTATAGAAAAAAGAAAGATGTCGAGTCCAGTCAATCTAAGGATTGTTTTTGGTGGGGATGAAGATGCAAGAAAGCTTGCACTTAAGACAGGAATCCCAAAGTCTGTGGATGAACTTGTCCTTGAAATAATGACTGTTTTTGGTGTAAAGCAAAAGTTCAGGCTCCAGTACAAAGATAAGGACTTTGGAAATGAATACATGAATCTCACATCAACCACTCAAATTGAAGACAGGGATACCCTGAAAGTGATTTTTCTGTCAACTGATGACTTTAACTCCTGCATGCATGAGACTGCACCTGATGTACCGTCCTGTTCCAGCATTCTTGTTCCTTTGCACAAGACAACCTGTAGCTCTGACTCTCCTAACACAAGACATGCTAGCCCTTGTGAATTTGACTCAGTCTCAGAAGTCTACTTGTCTGAGGACTCATTTTCCAGCAGCACCGAGACTGTCTTGATTAAGTCTCCGGAGTCAAGAACCAGTTCTTGGCCTCAGGTTTTTGTAATTCCTCGTTTTTCTTGTTCTGCTGAAATTCAGCTTCAGAGAGCTGACACAGAGTTCAAGAAAAGTGAAATGCTACTTATTCCACCACCAAAATTAAGATCTGACATTCTTGAAGGCATGGCTGAGGAGATCTTTAGGTATGCTGCATACCCCACTGATAGTCAGCTTGATCAGGCAGCTGAAGCCTTGATAAATGTCCACCCTTGCTTGAGGGAAAAGGGAACTCGCACTGGTCATGAAGGATGGAAACACTATCTAAAGATAAAGATGGCTAATTTCCGCTCAAAACTCAGCAAGATTGGACACCCAGAAATCACTGTAAATTCACTTAGGAACAAGCGTGAAGGTCGGGGTAAAGCAGCATCAAACATCAAAAAGCCAAAAAAGGCTGAGGTGAATTTCCTTCCCTGCCTTCCAAGAGGAGAAACAGCTGATAGTATGGAGAAGGAAAGAATTGCTCTCTTAACTGAAGTGAAAAAAAATAATAATGAGGCAGTCATAAAAGAAAAAATGCACTTGACCTTCTCCTATAGGCGACAAGAGTTGGTTGAGGACTTGCCAATGGTTTCTGATTTACAAAGTAGATGGCCTGCCCTGTTCACAGTCAATGAAGTAAGTGTTGGTGATATTTACACAATTATTTTCTAAATTTCAATTCATTTCTCCACAATACATCTACATTTCATCATCTACCTTTGCTTTATTTCTTTCAGATAAATGCAGAATTTATGAGGATAACGACTGTGCCTCTTCTGTCAAAGTTTTTCGCGCAGCTGGACAAATACACTGCTGATCTACAGAAGGTTTTCAGCGGCAAAGGAGGTGCTTCTGGACAGAAGATATCACGCATCATGACAGTTGCAGACAAGGTGTGGTAAATTGCATTACATTAAAAGATACATTAAAACTCTGAGTACATGAGTTTCACTCTCTATGTCGCGCATTTCATATGAGTTTGCAGCATATCTAATGCTCTGTAAACTCCTTGATGAGCATGTCAGTATGCTTTTGTGGAAACAGAGTATAAACCAAAATCCTTGAACTGAAAACCCGCCTTAAAAAGTTTTAAGATGTAACATTAATTTTATTTTAAATATATTTATATAAATATGGGCCAAGTTATCAATTCTCATTAATGCATTTGAAAAGTGTTTTGTCAGCAACAAATGCAAAATATTCACAAGCTGAGATCATGAGCTGAGGTTCAATGAAGCTCTCATTAATGTGATAGTTTACCCCAAAATTAAAATGACTTCATCATTTACTCTCTCATGTTTTTTTTTTTTTTTTTTTTTAACTTTTAGGAGATTCTTTTAAACACAAAAGAAGATATTTTGAAGAATGCTGGTTATTGGTACACATTGACTTCCGTAGTTGGGAGAAAAAAAACATGTTAATCGTTGCCACCAACCAGCATTCTTCTAAATATTTTTTTTAGAATAGAAGAAAGAAACTCAAATAGGTGTGTGACAAGAAAAGGGTTTGCTTTAAGGCTTGTCCCAACCTACTGGAAGTTTTACTTCATATTTAACATTTAACAGTAATCACTATAGTTACTATACTAGTCAATGTTACCAATAATAATAAATAACAATCACAAATGAATACAAAATTAATGTTATTTTAACAATTATTGCACAACACATAAATGCAGCAGATTAATATCTTCAATTTAATGTTTTATTTTCTATTTATAGGATAGTTCTATTTTTGACCAGGTTCCAGTGTCACACATTTCTTCCAACCCATACAGACAAATAAAACAGTTTTTGTAAATCACTTTCTTTAAAACACAAAACTGCAGATTCCTACACTTTGTCAACATTGCAACATATAAAACACTCAAAAATGTATAATTGCCACAAAAAATTTACATTACAAACAGAAACAAAACTTGTTCAGAAACTTCATCTATGTGCTGGATATATTTCCAGGTCTGGGGTGTTGTTTCCTCATCAGGAATGCATCACTGGTCTTGTGATCTTACCCCCATGTTGGTTTTATATTTTAATATTGTATAATTTTGTCTAATTTTCAGTGTGGTGACATACACATCAAGCGAGATTGTGTCATACAGAGTCTGTGTGTGTACTTCAATGAGGACATGACAACAGTTGTCAAAGAATTCGAGGTTTGTATACATATGTCTAAAGAACCTAACATACATTGACAGTCTAGATGTTGCCAGTATTTAACTGAAATTTAAAAGTATTAATGTTTTATTTATTTATTGTTATTAAATTATTTAATATTTATTTACTTGTTTATTTTAGGATAGCAACCCTAAAGAAGCAGAAGCAAGAATTTCTGAGACCACTCTGGGGCTTTTTGTGATTCGCAAGGAAGGTGCTGGTGCTGAGGAGGAGCCAAGTGATGTTGGAGTTGTGATAGAGGGTGTAACGCTGCTAGAGAACCTAAAGAGTATTTCTTTTGGATTAGTAATTCTCTTTGGACTGATCTACGCTCTCAATTTAAGCTATCCTCAAGGTCTCAAGTTCACATTTGAATTCTTTCAGAAGGTACTGATGAACTTAGATGGCAGCAAGCTGTCCCCAAAGGTACAAGCACTTAAAATTAAAATGTTTCAGTGAATAGGACATTCACTGTTTGCCTACATGCCTTCAACTGGAACAACATTGAAAACCTTTAGACAAGAATGCCCTAAAAGATATATTTCTACCGACTGATGACACTAACTCCAGTATGCCATGGACTGCACTTTCTTTTCTTTTTTTTAATCTCTGAAACTTTTAAAACAGGATATGTTACCCATTTTACTTTTGCGTCCAGGAAGCCAACGGATTACTTCTTTTCCAGATGTATTAAGACTGTCTTGGTTACATCTCCAGCCTCAGAATAGTAGTTTTTCATGTTTTTATGTTCTTCTGAAATGCTGGTTTAGAGGACTAAAATAGTTCAACAAAAGTGGAATGCTACTTATTAAACCACTTTAAGGTTTTAAAGGGACAGTTCACGTAAAAAAATGAAAATATACTCACTATTTACACTCCCTCAATTGGTTCCAAACCTTTATGAATTTCTTTCTTCTATTGAACACAAAATATATTTTGACATTAACTTCAATTGTAGGAAAAACAAATACAGTGAAAGTCAAGGTTTCCAGCTTTCTTTAAAATATATTATTTTGTGTGCAACAGAAGAAAAAAAACAATAAAAGTTTGAAACAAGTGAAAGGTGAGTAAATGCTCATTTTCAGGTGAACTTTTCCTTTAAAGCCACGACTGAGGAGTTTGGGAATTCAGCATTCCCATCTGCTGCGAGTAGGACTTGTTTTGCTGTTCTAAATGCTGAAAATTGTAGACCTGTTATATGTATTAAAGTCATACAAACTTTAGATATGTAAAGTAAAATGATTGCTTTTTCTTTTTATTTATTTTATTTCATTGCATTTTGTGTTTAGGTGTTATTTCATTATTGTATTGTCATTTCATTGTTAAGGGTCATTGTTAATTGTTTTAACAAACATTTAGAAAAAGAAGGGATCATTTACTTTTGTGTTATAAAATAGTAGTTTTTCATGTTTTTATGTTCTTCTGAAATGCTGGTTTAGAGGACTAAAATAGTTTAACAAAAGTGGAATGCTACTTATTCCACCACTTTAAGGTTTTAAAGGCACAGTTCACGTAAAAAATGAAAATATACTCACTATTTACACTCCCTCAATTGGTTCCAAACCTTTATGAATTTCTTTCTTCTATTGAACACAAAATATATTTTGACATTAACTTCAATTGTAGGAAAAACAAATACAGTGAAAGTCAAGGTTTCCAGCTTTCTTCAAAATATATTATTTTGTGTGCAACAGAAGAAAAAAAACAATAAAAGTTTGAAACAAGTGAAAGGTGAGTAAATGCTCATTTTCAGGTGAACTTTTCCTTTAAAGCCACGACTGAGGAGTTTGGGAATTCAGCATTCCCATCTGCTGTGAGTAGGACTTGTTTTGCTGTTCTAAATGCTGAAAATTGTAAACCTGTTATATGTATTAAAAAGTGATGCAAACTTTAGATATGTAAAGTAAAATGATTGCTTTTTTTAAATTTATTTTATTTCATTGCATTTTGTGTTTAGGTGTTATTTCATTATTGTATTGTCATTTCATTGTTAAGGGTCATTGTTAATTGTTTTAACAAACATTTAGAAAAAGAAGGGATCATTTACTTTTGTGTTATAGATCAGGAGAGAACATTGTTAACCATACTATGAGGTAACATGACAATGTAACTTTGAAAATGTGAAATTAATGTTTGATGTTGAATTATGTTTCCTTGTTGATGCCTGTTACTTGTAGGCACACAAAACTAAAAAGTCACAACCAGAAAGCTATTGCAGTTATTTGTTAAGCACTGCATTACAGTATGTTTTTGTCAGATTGGATGTTATTGGACAATAAATGTTAAAAAATTTAATCTGTGTTGAGAATTTATTTAATAAACCTAAGAACATAAAAGGTGATTATATAAAGCAAATAATAATAATGTATTCGAAATTAGTAAAGTCTATGTATTATACAAGAATAAAACCTATTTCAGCAGTTATCATAACATTTATTTAATTCATTCATGTTAACTGAACATAAATGGGTTAGGCTTAAACTAATGTTAACTTTTACGTTGGATTTATGTGATTAAATTGGATGGAAAATTGACATCCAATTGAATTACATAAAGTTTAACTTTTGGGGTTAAATATTTTTTTGAGTGTAGTCTAAGTAAAAGACATTGAATATAATTAGGGAATATTTTTAATACATTAGCAAGAAATAAATGCATTACACAATACAGTTAAAATGACTTAACTGAGTTCAGTTCATTTGAGTAAGCTTAAGCAATAAGCACACTGTAAATAATGCTGGGTTCCACACAATTGCTTTATGTTGTCCCAACACAAATCGATTAAGTTAACTGAATTGTTGGTCAGACTTTATTTTGATGGTCTGTTTGTTGAATTAAAGTTACATTGCCAACTAATTCTCTTTCGATTAAAAGTAGACTGTTAGGTTGGAGTTAGGGCGAGGGTAAGTGTAAGTTGACATGTACTTGCAAAGTTTCTTATTTAAATGTCTGTTGAAAGTCTGTATCAACAGATATAAAGAAGACAGTCTACTAATACTCGAATGGACCATCAAAGTAAAGAGTCGCCAATTGTTTTTGCAAATTTACATGGATTGAACATAATTAAGTCCCAGGTTTTTACTGTGCTCAAATTGCTTCATTTACTCAAATAGAGTAAGTTCACAGTGCTCATTAGGATTCGTTTTTGAACTTAAATAGTTTGTTGCAATTGGTTTCCTCAAGTGGCTTGAGTTACATTTGGGTTTTACAGTGTATAAAATTTTGCTTTCTATTTAAATAAAAAAATAGAGGAACGAATATTCTGCAAGTTTGTAACAACATGATGAGTAAAGTGACAAGACACACATCTCTTTTCCCCCACGTCTCCTCGCCATCATCTTTTCAGCCATGATTCTGTGGTGATTGTGTCAGTACAGTGAGATTCAATGGTTTACTCTCAGCTCCTCGTCCTTCTCTAATGAGAGTATCTGTAGAGCAGATGACAGTCGGTCTTCAACGCTGGGGTTTCCCAGGTGTAAACAGGCTCGGTGTGATTCCAGGAGTCCATAGACAAGCATTTCATTACCATCTGTGTCCTGAGAGAACCTCCTTTATAATTAATGCTTCCATGATGGATTACACGCGCTGCTTCCGAAACACTGCTGACTCCAACTCATTTTTGTTTCGTTTTTTTTTTCTTCTGCAGTATGATTTAATTGACGTTGTTTGCCTTCCACCTCCTCCTGACGATGAAACGGAGCATTTGATGATTAAAACGTCCCGTGATGTACAGCTGCCGACGACCGCAGTGTGTTAGCGGAAATTAGTTTAATGCCTCAATTCACCCTAATGTTCTTTAAACAATGCTGGATGGGGGTCGTGAAAAATGACACACTTCACCACGGACCTCCATAGGTGCATTCGTCAAGCTTTTGTTCATTAATCAACCGCATCGTTACCGAAAAGCACAGTCAGCAAAAACACACTGTTCACCGGGCATTTGTTCATGTCAAAAGAACCGTGGTTTGATACACAGTGTAGGATCAAAGAAATGAGTTTACCGCAGGTTTACTCTAGCTCATGGTCTTAAAATAAAACAGAAGCCACTGTAGGATGATAAAGGATAGCAATGTTTAACGGGATCCCTTTGTTTTAATGTGTTTTTTTTTTTTACACTTTTAGTGTAATTTGTGCATGAAAACAGTTCACAAAGTCGCTCTAATGGGAGTTATTCTCTATACTGGAAAGCTGTGAAAGAACTCAAAAGAAAGGTTGGGTTTAATACTCGCACATATCATCTGGCAGCAGTTATTCTGTGCTTGTTTGTCATCTCTGTTCACTCTGAAAACTAAACAAGGGGTTAAAAGTGACAAACCTTCAGGTGTTCTCATTTACATTAATACGTTTTTAGTTTTAAAGCGGCGTTTTACAACGAAAACGATTCACGATCCACACTGACGTTTCACCTAGCGTTTCTGAACAGCTCTCCGTCCACACTACACCACTAAAAACGCACATCACGTGACCACACACCCACTCTGGCATGCGCTGCAGCATATGCGGACGTCTGAGCTCCAGGCAGTCAGGGTGTGCTTTGAGCACAGAATCCCAGTTGAGAGCTGTGCACGTCAGACAGTTCATCAAGGATCTACCGCTGGATGTCATATCAGTATATTTGTTAAACGTGATATTTAATTAATCTTGTTGTCTCTATCTAACGAAATCTTCCCTGACTTCGGTCTTTTGAATCTATTACCTGTTCTCAGGTAATCTGTTTTGGCTGAGCGCAAAGATAAGTTAATATATTAATTTATGTAACCACATACACTGATTCTGCATATTGTACTGATTGTTTTGCCTTAAACCTATGAACTTGTTGTACGTTACACTTGTATAATGGCCATTATTGATTATTAAAACTTATATTCAGCAAAAGAGAGGGTATGCTTCATATTTTTCGACTGAAATGAAAGGAGGCAGTGATGTTATAGGCTCAGTTTTCTTGTAAATATGCATACAGTAAAGATGTCTGTCATATAAATATGTAGCTACACGGCGACTCAATTTTTGCTGTCTGTTAAGTTGTTAAATGAAAATAGGCAGTTCTTTATATCATGTTTTAATTTTATTGTTAAGAAAGTGAAGCAACATAGCCAGTAGGATGTGAAGGACATTATAAAGTACACTGCTTTTATCCTGACGTGTCCTCGGGAGTTTGTTTTCCATATCAGACTTGCGAAGTCTGAACTTAAAAGGAGAGGATGCAAGACTGAACTTTGTGTAGGCTACTTAATATTGAGAAAAGCCCTATTCAGATTGTCTGCAGCCACACCTCATCCACACTGACATGGAGCAGCAGCATTTTTAAAACCGAAACTCGAAAACTCTGGGGTAGTGTGGACGGAAGGCGTAACCATAGCACACAACATATGCATTTTAAAACAAAAACATAGTGTAAATGGGGCCTGAGGCACAAGGTGAAAAAGCCCCGCCCTCAGCTGGAAAAGGGGCGGGGAGCAGCAACCATTTGCCTTTTAAAAAGCTAACTTTTTTCCCCACATACAGATGTGGTTATAACATGGTATAATAAATGATCTGTGATGTATTTTGAGCTGAGAATTCACAGACATGTGATGTTTATCAGAGCCAGGACATTTTCACAGCATTTTTAAATATTTTTGTTTCTTTCTGGATAAAGTTTTCATTTTATTTTTACTTCCGTTGGAATGAAAGCAGTTCATATATATTTGTTTATTTACTTATTTTTATCATTTTGAAGGTCAATGTTATTAGCCTCCTCAAGAATTCTGTGTTGTTTTTTTCATTGGTTGCACAATAAATCACTTTTTTCCATTGATTCGCCTATTTGACCTATCTTGCGGGTGACACACTGGCTCAGTGGTTAGCACTATTGTCTCACAGCAAGAAGGTTGCTTGCTCTCCCCTTGTTAGTG